TATGGCATTGGCAGGAGGTGAAGCAGTTGAGGCTGACCAAGTACATGAGAAAAAAAATTCCATCTCAAAAACTAACTAGGTCCACGTACGAGTGAGAGATCTATGCCCTCTAAAAGGCATTGACTCATTAGAGGCACTACCTCCTTGGCAGATTCTTCTATGTAAGATCTGACCATGAGACTCTTCGCTGGATCAAGACACAACCTACTCTATCTGACGCACTGACAAGATGGATTGAGATCATAAACATGTATGACTTCAAATTACATCATTCGAAACGAGAATACAATAAGGTAGCGGAGGCTCTGTCCCAAAGGGCAGACTACCTGGGCTCGTTAGTAACTGAGCTTGGTCTAAGTGATGACGTGACTCAATCAATGGTGGAAGCCTATAAATAGGAACTGACTTCAAATTACATCATTTGAAAGGAGAATACAATAAGGTAGCGGATGCTCTATCCCGAAGGGCAGACTAGCTGGGCGCGTTAGTAACTGAGTTTGGTCTAAGTGATGATGTGGCTCGATGAAAGGAGAATACAATACGGAAGCGGATACTCTATCCTGAAGGCCACAATATCTGGGCCCGTTAGTAATTGAGTTCGGTCTAAGTGATGATGTGACTCGATCCATAGTTGCAGTGCACCTCGGTGCGCAGGCCTATAAATCATAGTTGCGGTGCACCTTGGTGCGCAGATTTGCGCACGCATTGCGCACTGCGTGCAGCTCACTGGAAAAATTAGGTCAAAAAAAAAAAAAAAAAAAAAAAAAAGGTTTTGTCATTCCTTAGGGCCCCCAACTCGGCAAAAATGTTACACTCACCGTGCGAGCTCGGAGACCGGCCGCGCCCCCAGCCCGGATTTTTTTTTGGGCAAGGGCTGCCAAATTTCGATTTCGGCGGGCCCTGCCCCCAAAAGTTTCAACATGGCAAGCATAAAATAGGGCTCATTCCAACTTTTTTTTTGGGGCGGGGAATGGATACTGGCCGTCCCCTCCCCTTCTGCAAATCCCACACAGTGGTGGGTTAGGTTCTCAAGAAGGGGGTAGTCACCTAATAACGACTTGCCCCACGAAGCTTCGCATGTCGGTAGTTATGGGTTAGGACGAAGATGCCCGT